GACCAGACAGCCGGCTGGGGTGGCGCGTCTGTGTCTCCCAGGCTCCCAACAGCCCTTCACCTCGCTGTCCTCCTCGCTGTCCTCCGGCCCGGACCGCGGGGAGATGCCGGCTCTCCCGGGTGGGTCAGCGCAGTCATTGCACCAGGACAAGGCTGCTTGTCTGGCTCCGCCTGCAGGCGCCGGCCCGGAACCCGAACACGGGTCTCACCGCCTCCACTCGCACAGCTCGGGTCTAAGTCACCGTCGTTGTCTTTTGGTTAGATCGTTACCATAGCCTCCTAACTGGTCCCCGTATATTTACACTTGGTAGCTAAAGTCAGATTGTCCCTCTTCCGGCGAAACCCTCCAATGGCCCTACGTGACCTGTAATTCTGCCCCCCCACCCGAGCCACACAGGCTTCCGAAATACCAAGTGGGCTCCGCGTCAGGAGCTCTGCCTTGCTCCCTCTGCCCAGAAGCTCTTTAGCCGATGACAAACCCTGAATTTGTCAGAACCGAGGTACCCAGGAAAGTAAGCTCCGTGCATGTGCAGTTACTCCGTGTATTGATTCTCATCATCTTCAGAGAGATCCCGCTTCCCTCCCCCCCTCCAAGTTTAAAAGAATGCCCCCTCACCCTTAACACTGAAGTACCACGGGTACCTGAATGTCTGTGCCCATGCCTTCCTCCGCGACAAGGAAGCCATACTCCCTCACAAGATCCATGCCTTCCCGTCCACGGGGCACGTTCATTTCAGGGTGGAAGCAAACTCGTGCGCCTCATCACTAGGGACCTTATTACAAACGGTTTCCCCACTACACCAGCGGAACCTGCTTTCATACAGAAAACAAAGCAAAGGGAAATACAAGAGTGGGAAAAGTCTCCTAGTGTTGGAGTATTTTATTGTATTTCCCACTTTTTTTTTTTTACTTAACCATGTTCCTTTATTATAAACATAGTTATTTAACATTGTTCTCATAAAAGCAACATGCTTAGCCAGTTGTTTAGCTTTTGCCATTACGGTTCTTTGAAAACCTTCTTTGGAACTGATGCAATGAACTGACAGGTGACATGTATACGTTTGAAGCATATTCCTCGGCTTTATGTTCCCAAGTCGAAGGTTCTGGACAATTTTCAGAGTTCTGACACTTTCACATGGCTTTTCAAAACTGCTCCTGAAACCGACACCCTCCTGATCAATTCACAGAAATCCGCAATCACAGACCTCTTAAAGTCCGGGTACAGCCGCGTGCATTTCACACACTTAGAAGTGGAGCCTCGGGATCTGAACGCAGAAGCCCGATCTCCGGACTTGCCGTCGGTCTCTCCCCCGATTCACTCGGAGTCGCCGCCGTTCAGGGGTCGGACCCGCGGGACCCACCGGCGGAGCTTCCACTTCCCTGCCTCTGCCCGCTGGCTTCTGCCCAGCTTCCCGCCCAGCTCCCGCGGGACGCCACGGGCCCTCGGGGTGGAAGCGCAGAAACCGCCTGCACCCCACCATCAGCCCGCACTCACAGTGCGCGCCGGTCTCCCCACAGGCCATCCGA